TGTTGGGGGGGGGGGGGGGTGGGGGGGTATTGCCGAAATGTTCGTCTAATGGACAAGGGGCCTTTGTTATTCGCGATAATTCCTTGTCTCATTCATTTTTCGGCCACGCTAGGCAATGCCCACAAAGGAACATGGAGTTTCATTATGTGCTTAGTCACTTCCTGTCGAAGAATTAATCGACTCTCGCGCACGGCATTCTATCCGCGAGCTAAAGGCCCCTAATGAATTTAATTACTCCATTTACCGGATGGCCCGGTAGCATTGTTTTATTTTTTTTTTTTATTTATTTTTTTTTTTTTCTTAAACAGCTGTCAAGGCTGACGGTGCTGGCATCGGCGATAGCTACCGGCGCTCTTATTAGCCCGTTTTTGTCGAAATTGTCCTTTGTAAACGATTCATTGTCAAAGTTGAAAAGATCGCGCGCAATCGTACGGCTCGTCGTGACCTTTTTGACAACTTTTTCTTCCGAGCTCCCGACCTCTTCCGCCTTAGATGACAAATACTTGAGCATAAAACTCGCGTAGAGCATTATGAAGAAATTATGGGGACCGTACAGAGTGACCGATTTCGTCGACATTACAGCTACCGAATCTTCCTTCCGAATGTCACGCACACGCCTATAACGACATTAGCCACATCAAAGACTTTGCAAGGCAATGTGATGTGATATGCTCGTTTGTCCCGGGGTGGGCAGAGGATTGATCGAGCTCGCGCTCTTGTCAATCAGTTCCCTTGTAGTAATAACTAACAGACCCTACAATAACTTAAAAGCTTCGCTGGAATGTGACGCAATGTTGAGAATAATAATGCGAGGCCATCGAATGGAAAGAGGAGCGAGAGAGGATCCATCCAAGCGATAATTGGATTAGAAGGGAAGGAAAAAAGGAAACCTCCATCCTTACCAAACGTTCCTCTCCTTCGCCCCTTCCACCAAACCCCCGTGATTAGAGACCTGAACTCCACCCCGCTATCAAAGAGCCCTCTTACTCCTGATCAGAACACTAGCCCCTATACCTACCCTCTCCTCCCACACACGACTCCGCAGACCGCGATTTGTGGGAGAATCCTGGGACGATCGATCGCCGGTACGAGGCTCAATCACGATTTTCATTAGCCCGAGTGCTTGGGCGGACCAAATGTATGTGTAGGCCACAAATGGAGAAAAGCCATGGCACTGGCGATACTACTGCTTTCACTCGTTCGTGCTTTCCAAACGAACCTTTCCATAGTCGTTCTTGCTCCTCTGCTTCGAGGCAACAGAGTTCGAACAAAGTTGCCCGCCGATAGGCCAAACTTATGGCTGCTTTTTTTCCCTTTTTTTTCTTTTTTTTTTTTGTCTTTTTTTGTCTTTTTTCTTTTTTATCTAAATGGGCGCGAGTCTGTCGCGCGAATCACCGCGCAGACGGATAATACGTTGTAAGGTCGTTAAGATAAGCGACGACACTTTACTTTGGCTTACTTAATGTCGTCTTTAAGGCCGGCACGTAGTAATTCCCATGTATATCAAGTATTTAACGAGTAGTTGCTAATTACAATGTCGAAAGGACGTTCAGCCACGTGGGAAAGGTTTTTTTTTATGTTTATAATGATCGTAGCGACACATTCACCCAACGCGCATCGATTAGTGCATTAAATTTTGCGAATATTTACGATAAAATGGCATTATTGCATGGGCGATAAAAATAGCGTGGCCTGCTATTCGTCTTAATTCCACGTTTTCACCTGCGTCGCCCATTAGCATGAATCTTTGTTGTAAATTTTCATGTCGTTTATTACAAGATAAAATTGTATATTTTCAATTTTTAGCCAATCACAAGCGACTGAATAAGGAGAAGAACAATCGCCATTTTCATACAGCTTAGAATACGAGCGTACGAGGAATTTTCATTTTCATTAAACGAGGTTTCTTTACAGCCGGCATATTTTTCAATTATAGCGTGTGCCCGCGTTATACATAATATGAGCATGAGTGTGTATACATTAGAAGGGATTAAAAAAAAAGAACGAAATGAAAGAGAGAGAGAGAGAGATAGAGAGAGAGAGAGAGAGAGAGAGAGAGAGAGAGAGAGAATAAAAACAAGTACAGCACTCTTGGCAATATCCCCCGAGTTGCGTGTGATCTTAAAACGTGGGGAGGTAGGCTCGCTCGAAACAGCAGAGAGCTAGAGATGATTTTGATGAAGCCGGTGGTAAAGTGCGATGAGCTCGTCGTATATAAGCCAATGCGCTCGGGATCCAGTTAATGGACGTAAGCATTTTCTTTGATAAATCGCTTGTCAAACGAACGTGTGCCACGTCCGCTTGGTAATGACTGGAGGAAGGTGCACCGGCCCGAGCCTAAACAGATCGGATCCTCGCTCGGGCGCAGAACCGTGTCGATGAATATGTTCGGATAGTCGGCCGAACTACTAATCCCAATGCAACTCCCTGCGCATCCGTGTAAGCGCTCGTAGACCATTTTTCATCCAACGAAAAGTTTCAGCTCTTTTATGGCGATGAGCTAAGAGGTATAATATTGAAATGCGCTTTATAAGCGAACGCGCGAGCCATTAATAATAAAAAGTAACCGCTTCGCTTGACCAGATAGATAATTCTCTACTTAGAGGAAGTCGCGACACTGGCCACGCAGTATGAAAATAACATGAGAGATCGTGTAGATGAAAATAAACGATTCGTCAGCATGACAGCCGCCGCGGTTATCACGATTATAATCGACGCAGATGGAAAAGTTGCGCCTCGTGAGATCGCATGGCGAGGACAATCGTGGGACAAAGGCGAGGAGAGTCGAGTGAATTCGACAAGTGGCCGAGATGTCACTAATGACTTAGGCGGACAAATGTACGAAAAGGATAGAACGAAAAGGATAGGCCGGGAAAACGTGAGGGGAAAGGCGAAGAAAGGTTCATTGAGAGTTCATTGGATAAGTGCGCGCGGATCGTGGCATAGGAACGCCACTTTGTTATCCGTGAAGAAGCTGGACCCATCCTTCATTTTTTATCGTCGTCACCGGGATGGTTAATTATTTTTTAGATGAACGAGCAGGTGGCCATTGACAACGTCCTGCTGCCATACCATGCAATCTACCGTTGGTGCACACGTGGCAACGAATCTTGCGCCGAGGAACACGGAGAGTACGAATTAATAGGGTCGGCTGAACCGTTGGGTGATGTCGAGTATTTTTTGCTGGCGCAGTGGCTAATGGACGGATGGAAATTACTTTCATTGTCGTCGCTCCATGCCCCCATGTCGTTGGGATTGAGAATGGACTGAAAGTGTCATACGGTGTTCTTTGGATTTACGATTTTTTACTCACTTAGATCACTTTTAAGAAATTCGTGCTTTCAAGCAATAATAAGCGAGTCTGCTGCACCTTCTAGCTTTTTTCTCTTCTTTATTGATTATTGCTACGCACCGCTAGTGATCTTCGTCCAACAAAGTACTGACAATGTATCCCGCAAATGCATTTCGATAAAGTCCGTTTAGTACAACGGTAGGCTGTCCTGGTCAAAGTACTAGAAATTTGTATTGCGATGTAGTGTGCTTGTTTGGTTGTATAGTAGCTGACAAAAATAAAACTGAAATAATACTAAGGCGAGAGATTGTGATAGAGGAAGGGGGAGCGAGAGAGAGAGAGAGAGAGAGAGAGAGAGAGAGAGAGAGAGAGAGGATTGGAAAGAGCGACGTACTTTTAATGGAAACGGAGCTGCGCCTTAATTCTATATAAAATGATTTTTGTAATTGAGTGATGTAATTTGTAAAGTACGTTGAAATTATTTTCTTTGGATTTTTGTGGCAATCATTAAGAACATTATTACGCGCAATGACACTATAGAAAAGGTAATTTAAAGAGATATATATTTATATTCGGCCGGATAAAATAAAAAGTAGAAAGTGC